TGCTAATTTTTTCAGTGCATGTGTTTTGTACATTGTGAGTGTTTGGAATGGCTATGTCTATAATGTATGTGATTTTATTGTGTTTGTCAATGAGTGTGATGTCTGGTCTGTTGTGGTAAATTGTTTTATCTGTGATTATGGCTCTGTCGTAGTACATTTTGTGCGTGTTGTTTTCCAATACTGTCTGTGGAATATACTTGTAGTATGGTTCGTGGATGTCTGCCAATTTGTGTTTCTTTGCAAGCTCTTGGTGTATTATATTTGCTACTTGATTGTGTCTATGTAAGTAATCTGTCTGTGCCAAGAGCTTGCAACCAGAAGTGATGTGTTGTATAGTTTCTGGCATGATGTGACATTTTCTGCATGTGTCATTTGTGAGTGTTGTATCTTTGAGTATGTGTTTTCTGTAGTTTTTAGTATTTATGACCTGATCCTGTATGGCAATCATGAATCCTTCCGTCTCCCCAAAGAGGCATCCCCGATCTAACCAGCTGTTTGACGCAGTTTTGTCAACAAAATCCTGGGCCAGGTCATAAGGATGCCTGCCATGGAGTGCCTTTCGAGCCCACGATTGCTTGATGGTGTCTATGCTTTTTATGTGTTGTGTCATGTCTGTATGATGTGAGTGTAAGTTTAATGGTGTGTTATTTGAGTCTGCTAGAGTTACTGCTTTATGTAACTGTGATGTTTCTTGTTTCTTGTAGAAAAACTCTCGCAGTGACTGTATTTGTTTGTAGTGAAGGTTAACTATGTCAATCAGGCCACGTCCGCCTTCTTTACGTGGAAGGGTTAATCTTTCTGTGGCGGATTTAGGATGATGTTGTTTATGCTTAGTAAGTGTTGTTCTTGTTTTCCTTTGGAGTTGCTCGAGATCTGTGTGAGTCCAATGTATAACTCCAAAAGAGTATGTGAGTACTGGGATGACATATGTGTTTATTGCTTTAACTGTGTGTTTTGCATTTAACTGTGTTCTAAGTATAGCGTTTAACCTACTTTGGTATTCTTTAATTAATCGTTGCTTTATTTGTGTATGTTCTGTTAGTTTGGCCTGTTGGAATCCTAAGTACTTGTAGAACTCGCCCTCTTCCATGGATTCAATAACGTCTCCATTTCCAAGTGCAAAATCTTCTTTCTTCAGGATTCCTTTTTCTATGTGAAGTTTTTTGCATTTGTCTAGGCCAAACTCCATTTGTATGTCCTTAGTGTATGAATGTGTGATTTGTAGGAGTTGATGAAGTTGTTTTTGTGTGGATGCATAAAGTTTTATGTCGTCCATGTACATGAGATGTGAGAGTGTAAACTGTGTTGTTTTTTCGTGTCTGATATTGTAGCCGTATTGCGTGTTGTTTAACATGTTGGATAATGGATTCAGGGCTAGGCAGAACCAGAGAGGACTCAAGGAATCTCCTTGAAAAATTCCTCGCCTAATGAATATTTCGTTTGTTTGTATGGAAGTGTTACTAACCCTGAGATGTAGTGTTGTTCTCCAGTGCTGCATAGTGTTTTCGAAGAATGCAATGAGTGATGGATGTATTTTGTACATGTGTAGAATATGTAGCAGCCAACTGTGTGGAACACTGTCGAATGCTTTTCTGTAGTCTATATATGCCATGTGTATGTTTCTGTGTTGTTTGTGTGCTTGCCGTAGAATGACTGAATCTATGAGTAACTGTTCTTTGCATCCCCTGTGATTTCTACGGCAACCTTTTTGTTGTTCTGTAAGAATGTCGTGTTCTTCAACATGTTTGTATATTTTGTTTGTGATACAGGATGTCAATAATTTGTAGAGTGTTGGAAGACATGTAATTGGTCTGTATTGTGTGGGGTCTGTGGTTTTGTTGTTTTTAGGTTTCATGTAGGTAATGCCCCGAGTAAGAAATTTTGGCATGTCTTGTGGATTGATGATGATGTGTGTTAGATGTTTAGCTAGTTCCTGGTGCAGTGATGTAAACTTTTTATACCAGAAATTGTGAATGTTGTCTACACCAGGTGTCTTCCAGTTGTGTGTTCTGTTAACAGCGTAGCGAATGTCGTGTATGTTTATTTCAGCACAGGGCATACTTGGTATGTTATGCAAGTTTCTGTTCTCCTCCTTGATCCAGCCTGCATCAGCATTGTGTGTAACAGCATTGGACCAAAGAGAAGACCAATAAGTTGTGAGTTCTTCTTCTGTTGGTGTGCCACTGTGCTGTGTATCAGTGTTTGTTTTGGTACTGATTTGTCTGTAGAAAAGTTTTTCATTGTTTGTGAATAATTTATTTTGTTGTTTTCGTAGTGTACATGTTTTGTATCGTTTGAGTCTACGTGCTTTGGCTGCGAGTTTTTGTTTTAGTGTATCGATGTATTCTGTAATGTGTGTGTTGTGATGTTCATGTTTTGTGTGTGTTTTAATTTTCTTGAAAATGTTTTTGAGTTGTTTCTTTAATTTGGGTGTTATGTTGTTTTTAGTGTATTGTGTCAGCCTGCCTAATTGCTGTCTAATGTCATTTATTTGTGTTTCTATTCTTCTCTGCCAGGCAGGCTTGTGATAGAATTGTGTTTTGTGTGTGTCTGTCTGTGAGTGTATTTTCAGTCCATGGTGTGTTACTACTGTGACTGCCCCAGCATAAACTAATGTATGAATGTCTGAGAGTGTAGAAATTGAATGAATGTAGTTTGGTAGTAAGTGAGTGTTTACATAATTTAGTGTTTTTCCTACTACCTTTGACGTGTTGATTTTCGGTATTCGTGGTCTTTGTGTGGGATCTGTACCTGTATATTTAGTGAGTGTTTCCTGAAATATAAGTGAGAGTGTATTAACTAATTCTATGTCTATGTTATCAGTGATGGATGGGGAAGTGCCTGCAGTATCATTAGTGGTACTTGTTGTGTGTGTGCTGTAATCAGTGCTTGTTGCTGGATTATCCTGACAGGTTACGTGATCTTCATTAATGTTAAATGTTTCTGTCTGTTGATGTATTTGATCAGCAACCTGTTGTTTGATAAGTTCAAGTGTTGTTTGTGGGATAAGGTTGTTGTGTATAATTGTTCGTTTTTGATCAACAACCCTTTGTTCGGTGACAGTGAGGTGAGGATATTGTTGTGTGAATCTATGGTGTAGTTGTTGTCTGTATGCTGTCATGTTTGTTTCGAGTCTTGTGATGGTGTAGTAAGTGCGGATGATAAACTCGTTCATTTCTGTTGTCCATTTCATCCGTTGGCGTGGTTTTCCAGCCTTTGTGGTCTGTGGATGCATTGCCACAGAAACACCAAGGCTAGGTTGATTCCTCACATCTGTTGAGGGCATTGCAGTAGCCATGCTTGGGCCGGCGCTGCTTTCGCCACCGGTAACCAAGGGAGACTGGAGCCTATTTTTCGATTGTGAACCTCTGCCTAACCCACGAACGCGGACCTTGTTATCCCGGGCAATGTCCAAGCTGGTATCATACTTAGATCTGGTTACTACCATGATAAATATCTCCACAGAATGTGGGTGTGTGGTCACTCTTAGCTTCATTTCTCCCCATAGACCTTACTGGCATGGGTGTCCCTGCCAGGAGCTTGTGCTGCAGCCTGCATTGCTCTATGGTTCAATAAAATTACTGGGCTATCCCACCACGACCAGGTGGTGACCACAGGAGAGTTATTATTATTATTATTATTATTTCATTTATGGTTTTAATATGTTAAATAATGTTTTATGCATTACAGCATATAGCTCTTAAAGTTTTTTTTTAATAAAATATTTTATATCTTGTAAATGGGAATAAAAATTAAATGGTTCAATTGAATATAAATGTGAGTATTTTGGATAATATTTAAGTATGTGTGCATATATATTTTTCATATCTGGAATATTACAAATAATGGAATTCCAACATTAATTGGGAGAGTGGAATAATAAAGTAATAAACATTTCTCTCAAATTGCCTTAATTGAATTTCAATGAGATTTTATTTCAAATCAAATCTCACTGGAATTCAATTAAGGCTCTTTGATAGACTTGTTTATTACAAATACTATTTTGTTTTTTAAATTAAAGCTCTTAACGTATATTTAGAAATACAGTATAAAACTTCAGTTATATATTTTTGAAGGAATCATCTGCAAAAATGCAAATATGAAAAAAGCATATAACTGGAAGCCAGTACTGGATTGTCTACTAGGCACAACAAGTAGTTGCTAGGGACTCCCAAAATTGGAAAAAATAAAGAAATTTTACAATTGTTGTTGCATATCTTGATTTATAAATAATTCTATAGTTACAATCTGACATTAGTTTAAGGTTGATGATAAATTATGTAGAGAGGCATCAATATTCTGTGCCTGGGGGCCCTAGAGGATCTCAATTCATCACTGGGCCAGCCATATTGTTTATTTAGTTTGGTTGTTTATTATGTAAAGGAGAATAGAGGGAGTCCAAATCAAGTTTTGACAAAGACTGTCAACATTATTAAGTGTCTTTCTATCTTTTCTGGAATTGCAGTCTGATTTCATGTTTGTGCATTCTCGCTACAAACTTTTTTAGCTTTCTGGGAATGGAACTTTCTTCATAATATAGAACTCTGTTGTTTGACTTTCAGACATTAAACTTTGTACACATTTTTAGAAATGTATTGTGTTCCAAAGATGAAGACTGCTTCTTTATTGATGTGAAAGCTTCTTGTCCTATTCAATTGTTTTGCTTCTTAAATATCACAATTTGACAAATATAGGATTTATCATACAGGATGTGTGTTTTAAGAGCATGATAAAATTAATCACAGCATTAATACATTAATTCATACACAAAAATGTTTGTTAAGTTGTGCTTCTTTACTCTGAAATATTTTGAAAATTGATAAAAATTTCTTTTATATTAAATTGCAAGTAATTATTAAAATATATAAAGCAGAAACTAAGAAATAACAAAACTGTATGTTAAAAATTATAAAAATTTATTTATTGAATTTATGAGACTAAATTTCCTTGAGTTCTGTTAACTATTATTAGATAAATTTTTGTATTTACTTTTCTTTCAGAGGAAATACAAAAGAAATATGGAGATATAAAAGATGGAGAAATAATAATTGTAAATCTTGAAAAAGGACCTGGTGGTCTAGGACTCAGCCTGGCTGGAAATAAAGATCGTCATAAGATGAGTGTCTTTGTTTGTGGTATGCATCCTAATGGAAATGCTGCAAGAGATGGTCGGATTTGTATTGGTGATGAATTATTAGAGGTATAGTATAATTTAATGTTTAATTAGAAAGTAATTCAAGTATTTATTTTATCATAAAATAAAAATTTTGTCATAATGTAAGATCATTTGAAATGGTATCTTTTAAACTGAAGCATCATTCTATTAGTGCAAATTGAAAAGTGTCAGTAAAGGCTATTCCAGGAACATGATGAGATGGATTATACAAAGGTTTTGTTTCTGTTCTAGTAATTGCTATAGAATATATACTGTCTTGGGTTAGCCACACGAAATTACAGTATATATTTTTAACTTTGAATCATGAATATTTGTTTCAATTATTGCTTATATTTCTGTTGCATTTGGTACAGTTTTTAGTGAATAATTATTATGAGTAGTAAACAAATACAAAAGAGTTGTGAACTATTCCATGGAGGTAACCTTATAAATTACTCTTTTATTGTGTTCTACAAACTCATGTTCCATGTTGCAAGTGCATGGACTTTATAGTTTTAAGCTTTATCTGTGAATGATGGTCAAACAAATTCCTAGTGAATCTAAACACAGTAAGTGGAAATAGTCATAAAGTGAAGGGAATGTAGAATAAAAATAATAAGAATACAAATGAAATTTGAACTATCAGAGAATTAATTATGAATGTAATAATTAAATGGTAGTTTTTTTTCATCAGTTTTTCATTTCTTTGTGCTGTGACTTTAGAACCTGCTACATGTTATTACAAGTCAATCCATAGCATAATTTTGGCACATGTGCCTTAGGTTGCTGATCCTTAGCTTCACCTATATCCAAAAACTTTCTTTTTCGTTTTGTCAGATTACAAGGAACTCTTTCATTATGAACTAATCATCAAAAGCATACAATTAATTCAGATGAACATTATGAATAATTAAATAATGTAAAGTATATAAATGAAAAATGAATTAATTAATAATTGAAAAGTTCTGAAAGTGAAAAACTAAAAATTTTTTAACAGTATAATATTTTAGATGAAATAATGTACATCCAAGTAAGTCATTAATTATCATCTACATATAAAACAAAAAATATTTAAATACCTGTATATCAGAGAAAAATAATATGATTCACTTTTACAACAATTAGAAATCAAAGTTTGGTTTAAACAAATAAAGTTAAATTCATTTAATATAGAAAAATTGCTATGTTTTGTAAAAATTATTTTCTCTTCTTTAGTAATTTTCTGTTTTATCTGCATCATGTCACATTCCAATCTTGTGCCACATTGTACAGTGCCATTTCCTGTCAGAGTCAAGAAAGTGCACTATTTAAAACTTCAAAATTCAAATTTTAATTGAAAATAACCAGAACAAATTTTCTAAAAACTTACAAGTAAATACTTTTTGTTACATTAAAATATTTATTTATTAACATTTGAATGACAATTTAAAGGAATTCTACTTACTCTCCTTCATTAAGAATCATCACAATTTACATTTAAAAGTTACAGGCAAAACTTAAAAGACAACGATTTCTCAAGCTTACAAAACTCAAATCTAAAAGAAATGAGCAATTTATTGTGACATCTTTACAATGCCAGGTTGCAATTTTTAATCATATTTTTAGTTTATTTAATTTAAAATATATATGATCTCCATCTCAAATTATTATTAGTGGCTTGCCCCTGTACATCATACTTTTCCTTTAACAATAGATTTATGCCAGTCATCGATTAACTGCTGGGAAGCAGTTAATAGATTACTTAATTTAACTGCAGGGAAAATTTTTTATTGAAATAATGTGACTTTTGGTTTGCATCAAAAGTTCATATATAGTTAATCAAGGCCTACTGACCTTAAGGTTTCCATATCCGATCTCAGATTTCATCTATCTAACTCTGTTCTCAAGATTAAGGAAAGACAGATGGATGGAAAACAGTAGGAATTTATAGGTCTACAATTTTTTCAAATTGCAGCCCAATGACAAAACTAACCTTTGATCATCGATGTGTGAGATGTAGGATAAGGTTTTTGTTAGCCCACTAAGGCAAACATTGAACAAACCAAACACACAGTAGATGTGTGAAAATTAATTTATTTACAGGTTCAATCAAGGATGTCAGCTCTAGAACAGTTTCTCTATCAGAAACCTTAAGCATGATTGTTGGTGGAAATTACAATTAATAAATGATCACAACATACCAAATTGCAATGACACTAATCTGATACAATGCACAAGAATAATTTTCTTAAAATTAACTCTTAATACTAAACTTACACTAATATGGAAAGATGAAGATATTGGGACAAGAAGGGGTAAACATGGTGGATAGGATAGAATGAAAGTACCAGGTTGTATGAATGTCTTTCTGTAGTCATGAGGGTCCATGTGGAAACTTCTTGCACCAATTTGTGCTTCCGTTGTCTTTTCCTTGGTCCAAGAGGACTTTTATTTATATCCACTTTGTCAATTTGAAACTTGTAACTTGTCAAGTTGAATGCCAACTCCAACACTCTGACTTTAGCCCAGGAATTTTGAGGTTTTCACTTGAAGTTATGACTTCACCAGTTTACTTGGGCATCAGACACTGTCATGTTTCTGTCTTTTTCTACCTTCTCTCTCTTTGAGCAGCAGCTAAAAATGACACTTCTTACTCACATATGTCCTTAGGTAACCTCATACTTATTGTACTGGTTATTCCAGGAAGTGGCCCTTACCTCCAAGAAAGAAAAATTAAGGAGATTAGAAAATTATAGAAGGGAGAAAGAACAAAGAGCTGGAGGAAAGTGTACAAAGAACAAAAAGACAAAAATAGACAATATGGCATACCAACACACATGTATTATTCAACACACAAAAAATGTATCTAAAAATTGATTTGTCACAATTCCAACTTGCTTTTAACACACAGAGTGTAATTACATTTTATTGCCTATTTTGAAAAAAAGATTAGGAGTGTAATATACCATATTCCTGCAGAATATGACAAAATCCTCTTCATTCTTATACAGATTGAATGTAGTGAACAAATACATTGTTTTCCTCAAAAACACATCTAACTTGAAATTCTTAACTGATGGGCTAATCTACATACCAGCAGGTAACTGGATTATTTGCAAAATAAATCTTTTCTTAAAAATAATTAATACTAATATTAAATACAAGAAAATACAATATATTAGCAATTTTAATTAGCCAAAATTCCAATCAAAATGGCTAATTTTTATATAAACATAACATTTTTATGACAATGATAAATATAGTTTCCAACAAAAAAAGTGTACTTTTCCATTTTATTCCCACTAGTCATGTTATATCATGTTGTATTTCAATCTTGTGCCATGCTCTATTAGGATGTAAGCTGTCATGTCATGTTGCTTATGAAACTAAGAAGGCAAATTGCATTTTGATTACAAATAAAGAATTTAAAATGTGAAAAAATTTAAATTCTAAGTAAGAATAATTAGAATTTTCTAGAGTCAAGCTATAAAAATAAAACTAGAAACATAATCAGAAATATAAAATTATTTTGAAATAACTGTTTATAATAATAACTGATTAGAATTTATTTTAACTAATAAACAATGCAAAGAGTCACCAGATTATATAAATATTTTTAAAAACCTTAGGATATAACTCTAAATGCTCTACTCATTCTTCCATGAATTATAAAATTCTAGCAGAAACTGTTCTCCTCTTGAGAGTTAGCATAATCATCAAAATCTAAATTCCTTTATTATTAAGAAATTATATTTTAAGTAAATTTCTTAATGTCTAAGCAGGTCAGTTCTGATTATATTTATANCATTTATACATCATATTTTTAGGTAGCACTTTTTCTCACTTAGATATTATTTACTTTGAAATGGAAAAATTTTAAGCAATTATTTAAAAAAATGAAAAAGAAAATTATGTGTTTACTTAAAGTTAGTCTGACAATGAATTGCCAGAAAATGCTACTACAAAATGAATAATACATAATGTAATGAAGTTTTTGGTGAATTTTTCTATTTAGAAAATTGTTCCAAAATGTTGAAAATTTTCACTTTCAATGAAAATCAATTTTACTAAGCAAATAAAAATCACTTTACAGTTTTTCATTTGTTTTTGCTATTCACTGTTAGGTGTGAACTAACATTTAGAATGCCTGTTCTTTCATATGACTGGAGTTTTGGCAGAAGGAGATAACTGATGTCACATACTGTACCAGAATGTAACAATATCTTGAAGTCCATAAAAAAAAGAAACAAACAAAACTTGACCAATTTTACTTTCCTGGCTGTTATGTATACATAACAAGGGAAAGTATTGGAATTGTATCAAATCTGAAATTCTGAGTTTTTTGTAAATCTCCACATTTTGAGAGTTCCTGAACCCAAAAAAGTCAAAAAATTAGAAAAATTCCATGGATGTGTGTTGGCATCTATTTTCTTTAATATCTCAGAATGAGATAAAAATTACGAAATTGAATTTAGCATAGTAACTTACATATAACAAGTATTGATGTTAAGCCAACAACTATTGGAATACAACTACAGAATATATCAGATTATAATAGCCCAATATATTCTGTGGTTGTTGGCTTATTACATATATAGATCGGATTTGTAGAGGTTAGTTTATGTAGGTATTGATGTTATTAAATTTTGATGATTAAAAGTTGAGAAGATAGAAGGGGGTATGTGCCATATCTTGAGAGGGATTGTACTAAATAAAGATTTTGCTTCTTAGTAGCATTTACAATTTTTATAAAACTTATCCCTACCTTCAAAATTAACTTTTTTGCCTTTTTTTTCTGAATCAAGTTTTTTGACTTTATAATAATTAATAATATAAAAAGATTTTTATAACAAAATTTCATAACAGTTGGGAAAGTTATACAAATTATTGCTAGATTTTTAATGAATAAACCCATAAATTTTTATGACAGTGATATCTGAATTTTGAGCTATCATGTAATAGAATCTTCTATCAGTTTTGGTTTTGTCAATAGCTAACTCATTTGTGAACAATAATGATTATTATTGTTGTTGTTGTTATTATTATGTTGGGTTTTGTGAGTTATA